TACACTTTTAGAGCATTTTTTTTCTCTATAAAATATGTTTTAAAGGGAATGGCGGTAAGCCCTTAGATCGTTCATCATCACTTGTCTATGTACAACACCATCATGGTATGTCAGTACTGTAAATAAGTTTCAAACCCACATTATTCCTTATATTTCTGTAAAGTTGACCTTAAAGTCAAATATTAGTCAAAATTTACATTTTTTTCCATACCCCTGCAGACTAATTCCTAACCACCTAGGCCTTATTTTTAAACAATACATAAAAATACAAGATAATGTACCCTAAAGTAACATGCAGGCGAAATTAACCCGCATTTTGCGATATAATTTTGTATTTTACATAAAAAATGATGATATTTTCTTTGCATTTCAACGTCTCGTCATTAATCATTGTGAGTTTGTGAATTCGTTAATGCATGCTTTTAAATATTGCTTTTAGACTATAGTATCCCCATTTCTATAATATATTCTACCACTAGATTTGTTTTAGATAGTTCAAATCCCATCGGGTGTATCTTGTCATAATTATTTGTTACTAAAATAGAATTTTCATTTTCTTATAACTTTTATACTAAACTTGCTGAGTATTTTCCAGTGTAGAGACATCTGAAATTGTTACTATATTTAGACATCTTTAATTTTCTATATTTGAACAATTTTAATTGTTATTATATTTAGACGCGCTAAGCAATTTGGTTTACATGGCCAGAGTATAAATTTAGGCATTATATGAAAATATATCTAAACTTTAAACATTTTTGTAAATATGATTAATAAATTAAAATAGTTTAAGCAGCCTTTATTTAGGTTAAGTTATTATTAGTAGTATATCTAATAGTTTTAAGAATGTCTCACAACGTATGTGTTTTTGAAATTGTTCTTCATTCATTTATCCAAGTTATAACACAAAAATTGTTGTTGTTGTTGATGATGATGATGATAATGGTGATAATAAATAATAATAATAATAATAATAATAATAATAATAATAATAATAATAATAATAATAATAATAATAATAATAATAATAATAATAATAATAATAATAATAATAATAATGACAACGATGATGATCATGATAACGGGACGATGATGATGATAATAATAATAATTTAGATTAAAATATTAAAATAATAAAACAGGAATATGAAAACAAAAAAAGTACTAAATTACTATACAAATACTGAATATATTAATATGAAATGCAGAATAACAGTAAATTATAAAATCTTTCGCGATACTAATTGACTAAAATTCGTCTTTCTGTCAGATACGTAAACTGCCGATGCCGTCGCATCAATGCTTGATTTGCAGACGAAAAATCAAAGAAGAAAAAAAGGAGAAAAAACAGCAAAAACAATATGTCGTGCTTGATTAGAATTGGCGTTTCTGCTCGTTTTTAATGCATCAATAAATTGAGTTCGGCCTCCAAGCTTTTGCAAATAATGATTTGAAGCTTTTAAGACATTAAATGATGAAAATGTAGATTCGCCTACATTGAAGCATAGACAGTTGTCTACTGTACCATTTTACCATGCCAATCTTTGTAAACGAACCGAAATTATTTCAAAGGACCTAAAGTCCCATTTTATCCACATGGCATAACCTGCTTTGTGAAAGCAAAGACTTATCAATACAATAAATATAATTATATACAATAAGAATGCATACATGGCGCCACAAATTTGAATATGATTTCCACAATAAGCCACTATTTGTTGCAACACAGAAATCCACTTTGTTAGAATGCCCGATACGCGGAATTTTAAGTTTTAACCAAATGAATAACTAATATGTATTGAATAATAAAAAGTCATTAATATTCATACTTGAAGAACGTGTCAGATATTTATTCATTCTTTTTGATGTAGATAACTGGGACATGTTCATGAAACCAAGCTTATCAAAAGTGTTTTTAACTTGACATTTTTCGTTATTTCTTCGCTAGAAATACATGTATGTTGCATTTTTTTACGCGTCATCACGGATATTTGTAGAATATATATATTTAGAAAAGCTTCTTTATTATTTTTTATTTTGCTTTCTTTACTGCTCTAGTGCCCTTTTTTACATTCACGTGTATATACTCAGTATCTTTAATGCAGGCTAATTACTTTTCTTTATATTTAAAAATCAACAACATATTTTATTCACTCAACGTCAAACCAAGAACAAATGTTAGTGTTTTTTTCTGTTCGGAAATTCAATTTTAATAGTCGTGTAAATTTTTCAGAAAGCGCCCAATTTTTTATATACATACAATTGATACCATTCCAGACGCTGAAAAAAACTAAGAACGCCGGATATAGATTTTTGTTCGACTATCTGTTACAAATAAAGACAGAGAAAAGAAGCAAGGTTGTAGATCAATTATCCTTTGGCATTTTCTTTAAGCTTCTATTTTGGGTTTTGATAATGGGAGACTAAATCCACATTGACTTCTCAGACGCCCGTTCCATGTTGTCCATCATAAATCATTCATTGCTATTTATTGATTGTTTTAGACCATGCCGCAATCATCGTCGTCACCGAACAAGAATAGACGTAATTGCTTTCCTCCCTACCATAATACTGAAATATTGACCATACGGTTGATACGCGGTCAGAATAGCAGGAATTGTCCGGTTGGACAAAAGGTCGTAATTGATAGCATGTGGACAAGTGTATGCTGACCGACAGACAAAACTAATTTAACTATTGTTTTCATATCAAAAACTATTAGATTTATGGCGTTACGGCTATGAAACATTAATGTACATGTAAATGTGTACCAGATTCGGTAATTTGAATGGCTGAAGGGATGATAAACGAACTAGTATCTGATCATAGATGTGTCATTCGTTAAATGTATAATTGACTAGATGTATTGCTACGCAAATAATGAATCGTTATAGTACCATTAGTGACTAGTGAGTTTATTTACGTTTTTTATTCGTTCATAAAAACAATAACAAATAACAAACAAATAATTGGTAAAAAAGACTAGAGATAGTCTGAGAACTATATAAGAGAAAGTTATTTGATTTAAATAGCTTACGCTTCAGAAATGTATTTTTCTTGTACATTATAGAAAAAAAATAACCAGGACAAATAAAAATTGTTATAATGTTAGTGCACAAAAGTTAAAGACTCTTGCCAGACCTCAAAGGTCAAGGTCACACTAACATTTTTAAGTTTTACTTTATCACAAGAGTTTATAGGTACACACAATTGTGTCCGGATTGTAATTTTGTCGTGCATGGAATGATTTTAGAATAAGTTGGCATAAATGTCTATCACATCAAGATATTGTGTCGCGTCTAATAAAAACGTCCCTACCTCAAAGGTCAAGGTCACACTACAATTTTGAAGTTCACTGTATCACAATTAGAGTTTTTAGGTACACACATTCGTGTCCGGACTGTAAATTTGTCATGCATCGAAGGATTTTAAAATAACTAGGCATAAATGTCTACCACATCAAGACGACATGTCGCAACTAAGACCCATGTCCCTACCTTTAAGGTCAAGGTCCGACTTAAGGTATTAGCACCCTAATGCATTACCTCCGCTTTGAAGAGTATTCAAATAGGCTAGAACTACTGTTAACTACATTGAAAATGAGGGCCATGGGTTCAATCCCCATAAGGGTCAACTTTTTCTTTCTTTCTTTTTTTCTTTTAACATTATTTATGTATCTCTCATGTCCCATTTGGAAAGAAAAAAGTGTTTAATTTTGATTTTTTAATTTATATAGGTATTTATTGGCTAAATTATGCTAAATATAGTAATAAATATGGTACCTGATATTTTCAAAGTGTAATATAATCAAAACTGCATAAAAACAATAACAAATAACAAACAAATAATTGGTAAAAAAGACTAGAGATAGTCTGAGAACTATATTAGAGAAAGTTATTTGATTTAAATAGCTTACGCTTCAGAAATGTATTTTTCTTGTACATTATAGAAAAAAAATAACCAGGACAAATAAAAATTGTTATAATGTTAGTGCACAAAAGTTAAAGACTCTTGCCAGATGAAAAAGTTTAAAACACAATATTTTCTTTTTTTCAGAACCAAAAAATGATGGTATCATTAAACAATTTCGTTTTTTTAAATGTGATTTTGTACATTGTATAAAGAACGTAGTCTTGAAAAATCACAATCAACTTTTATTCCGAAACATGTCAAGTCAATTTGAAGTGTCGCAGAAGAAAATTTAATTGGCAACTTATCTATTAACGCAACTGTTCGCTCAGACGGAATTTATTTTTTTCTATGATATAAGCTTTGTTTCAGTTTGTTGTAACGTATTCACTGATTTTAAAGATGACATTATCACGCTCATCTTAATATGCTATAAAACGATTCACATTTATTCTTCTTTTCATTTGTAGTCACGTGATTAGAAAATAAATCCTGATCGCTTACATCAAATATAAAATTAACGAGAATAAAGCTAAAAATAACCTCTAAGACGCATGGTATGTAATAACGAATTTAACGGTCGTATATAATAGGGAAACACCAAATCTTCTGATAAATTTCACTTGAAACAAGACTGCTTTTTACCCAAATCAGAAACTCGATGGAATCAAAAATTTCATAGGCTCTGTTCTTTAAAATAGAAAAAAAGTTAAGTCTGAAAATAATACTGAAAACTTTTACCAATTCACTTGTATCAGTATGAATGTTTGTAGGAAAAGAAATTTCGTGTTAAGTACAAATTACTTTAGTAAAATTAATAATTCCCATCTTCAGATAAAACTACATATATGTACTTGATATGCTCGATTTTGATCAAATTGAAATATAATAAAAAAGGATAAGCGTACAATGTAGTACACGAGGGTCATTCATAAAGTTCCCGGACTTGACCAAAATATCATTACAATAATTTATAATAAACACGTACAATGTGTGATAGTTTCAGATTCATTTGTATGAATCAAGCATTGGTATAGTCTTGCACTGAAGGATCCCTACAATCCGTATTAACTAAATTGATAACAACTATGTTTGCTTTTTCAAGGTCAATTTATTACGTTTATTACAATTAACAATATGTGAAAAGTCAAAAACACACGTGCATGACCTTTCACGTGACTTTTCACATGACCAATACTTTATATTTACACACTAGTAATTTGAATATTCAGTGGGCAAAATAATAGCATTTAAACATAACACTCATTGCAATATACATAATTCAACTTCAAGGAAAGTTTTTTAACATATTTTTAATAAAACATTCATACGTTATAACCGTTTAAACATATTATAAATGTAAATGATAAACAATGAAAGTAATATATAAAAATGTAGACAATTTTATAATAAACATAAGGTGTTTACTTTGGTATTTTAACAACACAAAAAGATGGGATAACATAAAATCGAAAATCACTGCGTTCACATTGAACTATTATTGTTTTTCAGTTTAACATTATTGCGTTGATCTGGTGCATAATATAAAGAGTTTCGCATATCAGCCGTTAATATATTATTAAAAAGAAAATTCGTTCATACAGCCCGGATACAATGATTCTGAATCTATATTAATTTATGTCGAATTTTCGGATATGATCATTGTTCGGACGCAACAATTTTTCAGATGCGATCATTATCCGGTATTGACTTTATTTCGGGTAAGAACAACATTCGGATATATGATCATTTTTTAGAGTAATCTATTATTTCGAATATAACCATAAGCAGTGATCCTAAAATATAAACAAAATGTGTCAAATACCAAAATAAACATAAACAGTTATGTAAAATTCAAAGAACTACTCAATTTTACTTTGCTGATATTATTTACTCCCTCTGTCAAAATTATTGTAAATATAACTTGGAGATGCAAGTAACTTAAAATAATACGTAGATAAATTGCTAATCAGGATAATATGAACTTAAAATAAGTTCATTGACGTAAGTTAACAATGTTATTAAAATTCGTGCGATTTGAAAGTTTGGTTTGGCATTACAATGGTAGATAATGATACAATCTTATAAGGAAGAACGAAAATTTAGAAACATTCTAGGAATAAAATAGAATTATCAGATAAAAACAAATTTAACAACAAAAATGTAAAACGTCACGGATTTCAATGATTTAATTTGAATATATATGTAGACAAGTAATTTCTTTAAACAAAGTTTTAGACATATTCATCAGTCATTTGCAAATCTACATGTACAATCTATCTATATAATAAAAAATAACAAAATAAATTACCCTGGAAAATATACTAACATATCTAAATAGCTACAGATGTATTTAGAAATTGAGTTCATTAAATCAACAAACTTTCCAAAATTCGTGACGCCAGTCTTAAATATATCTTGTAGAACATGAGGTCAGAATCAAATTTTAGCATTCGTTTCTACATAAACCAAAATAACTTTAAAGAAACATGCTTTCATGTTTTTCCATTATTTTTGTTCATATATACTATACACTACTGAAATTCCGCATCTATTCATCTGCTATCAGAGCATGAATTATATATATAGAAATATTTAAAACGAAGTTCTTAAACAAATGTTTGTACTAAAACTGATGTATTAACAAATAAGCTTCATGTATTTAAATGAAACATTGTAAACATTTTAATATATATCTAAGATATATACTTAAACAAAACCGTACTTATATAAAAGAACATATATTCATATAATCCCATTTGTAGAAAAGTGTGTTTCTTATAATCTAACAGCTTAAACAGTAGTTTAAGATCTGTTTTTCCAAATAACAATTTTCGTCGAAATTTACTACATCGGAACTATAATTCAGAAACTCTATGAGTTTTGCTAATTCGTAAAAAGGTTTCACCCTCTTATCCCCCTTTTATGAAATGACCTTGTCCTGCTTTAAATTAGGAACAGCCTACTGAAAGTTTTAGGGATTTCAGTCTAAAAAATCTACACATAAAAAGTCAACAATAAAGAGTCTAGGTAATCTGAACAAAAGTGCATGCTGGCCTTGCTTTTTACTGGTGACCTTGGCAAGACATGATTGCTGTATAGCATTGAAGAGAAGGGAACAACGCTAAGAAAGAGAGAGTAAGAGAACCATGTGGCAGATTACAGTCATTGTTTGATGACTGACAATGGCAGATTTATATGGCGTAACAAAATCATCTTATCTCGGACTTATTATACGCCTCATGTACGGGCGTACACACCTATCTTCACAGAACTTCAGCCTTCGCGGCGAGTGGGTAAAATGCCACTGGAGTTTATTTAAAAGAAAGAACAGATTGATGCAATATGTCAAATCCGTTACATTTTCTTAAGTACATATATAATAAAAGAAATATTTCAAAATTATACATTTTAGCTCATAAAGTGCGAGAAACTGCGAGAAAATAACATACAATGAATACAAGTAACAAGACATGTACAATAAGATTTTTTCATTTATATGGGAATAACTACAGGAACTTGAGGGGTTATTTTTGACGTCACATTATACAAAAGAACAATTAATACAAAAAATCACAACTTGAATTCTCGTTACGTAGGGAAACTCACTTTTATCTCGCGCGTGCACACAGTGAGCAGACGACATTTTACACCGAATAACCCTTAATTCCATTATTTCAACACATGTACTATCTATGGCGTTAAATACAAGTCTATTGATAACCAGAGATTGTTTCTGATTTTATATATACAATAAAGCACGGTAAATATATCCTCTGAAAGTGAATGGAACACAAACATCCACTCACCCGTGCGGCTTTCACGTGCGTCTGGAAGCGTTTTTGTTAGAAGACAGAGAACTAATGTTGTGTTACGAAAAAACCCAGTGTTTAGAAACATTTCAAAGTATCTGAGAGGTAATTTCGCTCTTCAAATACACAAACTCAGAATTAAGCTTAAATTTTCAACCTTAATCAAAAGCTTCTAGTTTACTTAGCACAGCTTGTAAATAAAGAAACATTGTAACGATACTGTTAATAATATTCAGATTTATTGTAAGAAATCGACAGAATTAAAGTTTCAAGAAAATTGCCAACTAGCCATATCAGTAAAAACGATGCTGCTTCAGTTAAAATTTTGTCTTTTATCAAGAAAAAAAAATCAAACAGGCATACACATAGACTGCCTTTTCACAATATAATTACCTAAAACATGAACAATGTATGTTTAAAATCGCAGACGGACAGACGGTGCAGTGAATGTACCGTATTAATATGTCCATATGCTCAAGAAAATACGAAACATTTGTTTATTTTCTGTGGAATTTACATTATCAGGTTTGTTTAAACAAAACAATATTTCTTATTCTTTCACGAATGTAAACAATATAACGTAAACGTCAAAATATCAACTTTGTCAATCAATTTTACAGTTATTCAAGCATTTTGCCAACACGGATCAGAACGAAGACCAAGCTCCTCAATCACCCTGATTGATAGACTTGCAGTTAAGGCCAGATATTTTTTAAAAAAGGTTTGTTGTAGTTTAAAACAACTATTTTTATTGTCCGTTCATTCGGTAAAAGTAAACAAAGTTAAGTAAAATAACACATGTTTTAAAATAAAATATGCATTTAAAATGTAAGGTATGTTCTACAAATAGCATACTCTTGGCACAGACTTAAGGGTACATACTCAAGACAATTATTTTAAAATTGTAAGAAATCCATTTTTAAGGAGCAGTCGTTTCATTATATTAAGAAATAATGACAAATTTTAGATTTTAAATGCATGATGAAAAATATATCTTTTCTACCTTTTTCTCGTTATTCTAAGGTATACGAATGTCAAGAAATAAACAATATATAGAAAAAATATCATACAACCATATGACCCCTCACTACCGATGACGTCACTAATTCAAATTATACCCTATTCAAAATAACTATTATCAAAATTAGCACTATAATCAACACTGCTACAAAAATGCACTAAAATTGCAATTAACAAATAAACAAAGACAAATGCATGTAAAATATTCATGAGCTGCAACTGGTGCATTTCTTAGTAATAAATAAATCGATACGCATGATTAGTTACATGAAATAAATATGCATCGCTTTAACGAAAATATGTTCTGCACAACTTCTTTTTCTTAAGAACATTTCATTTAATGACAGAAAAAATTTTTACTATTTTCTTTAATAGCAATTCATCTTTTTATACCTATACCTTAGTTAATAGTTCTAAAGACTCTTTTTTTTAAATTCTGGAACATATCAAATTATTTGTTAAAATTAAAAACAATCACTATTTTAGCCACATGATTTCTGTAAAGTATATTCAACAGACATTTTATTCCCCCAACAATTAAAGAAAAACAGGTCATCGTCTGTTCGAACGAAGAATCCATTTACGTCATAGCCTACTTCCTTCAAATCTATAAATAGTACAGTGTACAACTTACTTTTGTTTCAAATAAACAAAAACAACGAATTTATATAAGTACCTATATATAAGAGAGCCGTGCTAAATAATTATAAATGAGTCAATTTAGGTATATAATCGTAGGGTCCCTGATGATACCCGTTCATTCCCCCACCCACACCACAAGGCATCCCCGGTCCTCCTATCATGTGACCGGATGTCATTTGACCTTGATCCGGGTCTTCGTGACCACCATTTACATCCGGGTACATTGAATATGAGTTCATGTGCGCCATATAAGGATGGCCGCCATTAAAACCCCCGTGAGAGTTTTGGTTCATATGTATGTAGTGATTTGGAACATTAGGATGGGAATTATACCGACCCATTTCCATATTATGCATGTTATTCATACAGTTCATTGGCATATTAATGCTATTTCCGTGATGTTGTTGGGGCACGGGAGACACTGACTGCTTTAGGCACGTGGGACTTGACTGCGGCGGCGGTTGTTGAGAATACATGTCTGAATGGGACGAATAAGGATGAGGGGGCATTGTCGCATTTTGCGCATGAGATCTCTGTCCTGGACTCGGCGTTTGAGGATGTGGTGACGCCATGTGTCCTGGCGGTAACGGGTGTCGGCCAATAGGATCCGGGCTGCCACCACCGGGCTGGGGTTTATTGCCACCACAGTCACTAAGTGAGTCCTGACCCCCAGAATAAGATTCCTCGCTATCACTATCACCCGAGAGACACCCGTCAAGCTTTCCGAGGCCTTTGTCAGAGTGCTTCTGTCGTTGCTCCTTTTTATACTTCATACGCCGATTCTGAAAAAAGAAATAACCAGTCACTTACAAAAGAGCATCTCACTGCTTTGAACGCTTTGATAACTATAAGCACTTTTCGTTAAATAATAAACATTGCTCAAAAACAGATGCTTTTGTCATCATAATGTGCTCAAAGAGATACAATCATTTACAGTTTAAAAGAAAACCCTAGGTATTGACCATTTTGAAGAACAATATTCGTGTGAACGCTGAATGATCTAGAGTCTAACAAGGTATGTATCCGAAAAATATGCTATAATTGCTATATGATAAGAAAATGCAAAATATTTAAGATTCTATACGGTAAGTATTTATATACAATTTTCATAATTTCTTTTGAGGAAATTGAATTAGATCTAAGCTTTGAATACAGTTTATACTTTTCTTACAAAATATAAATACGGTAAAATTATGTTGTTTTCATAATTTTATGGTGGATTATCGAAAGTGTTGTTACAAAGAATGTCTTTGTTATTTAACACACGTGAATACTGTACGTAAACAGAATAAAATGTTATAGAACAAAATATTATGTTGCTAGTTTAAGCAGGATTTTAACAGTTTAACAATGATTTTGTGAATGCACAATTATCTCATAAGGAAATAGTCCAACATATTTCTTACAAAGATGTATTTTAGAATTATTCTTTTTCAAAATTCAAACAGAACATTTGTAAGCTGCTTTCTGACAGATATAGCTTTACATACTTTAAAGTTGATTGGTTTACAATGGGCACTTTTTTCATTAGTATTTCAAATATTGATTAAACAATAGAAATGTATCATTTGGATTTTCATATGAAATGCTGCTTAAAAAATGTTAATACTGTTCTAAGTGTTTTAGAATGACCATTTATATGATGAATAACAATATTTTCTTCTAGAACATTATTATTATCTGCTATATAAACATACAATATATATGTAATATCGGATCATGTATCTCCCAACAACTTCCATGTTTAATTATTTAATGTGTGATACTAATTACTATCAACGTAATTATTTATTGCATTTACAGACCTTCCATTGTAGACCAATTCACTTTAAGAATCTAGCAAGTGATATCTGCAGCGAACAAACTGTTTATAAAACAATAAAATATAACTATACTTAACTTACCTGAAACCATATTTTTATTTGTCGCTCTGTAAGGTTGAGAAGAGCCGCCATTTCAATCCGTCGTGGTCGGCATAAATATCTATTGAAGTGAAATTCTTTTTCTAGTTCAACAAGCTGGGCACTTGTATATGCAGTCCTAGCTCGTTTTGTCGGTTCTAAAAATAGAGTAATATATATGTAGCATGAAACATCAAAAGTTTACTAAAATGTTTATTTCGTAAAATTGTGTAATTTTTTTCTCCAGGAATAAGTTTTCAGAAACTCAAAATTCATATAAGATATAAAATTTTTACTAAAACAATAGCATTTTAGTGTAAACATATTTTTTTCGCTTTGATCATCTTTAATGCCGAGTAAATTTTACAGTATTATAATCAATTAGGAGCACATAAAAAGTAATGCAATATGATAGTGACATATTAATTCAATAAATGGTGTGTTATGAAACCATTGAAGCGTAAATTAATGCAAAATATACATTTTTAAAATCAAAACCTGTACGATTGTAATAGCAGTATATTGTTTCATTTTAATTATTTTACCATTAATTTTTAAAGTAAAATTTGCATCGTATCATAGGTAGAAATAGACGATAGAGAAAAGTTTCAAATTCCTCAAGAGTATTTAAGAAATTGTGCATTGTACAGTTTAGAGTGTTTGACAAATAGAAACACACTTAACATAATTTTTGTACATGTATATACATGTATACATACTATTTATTTTATTCAAAATATTTATAACAATTATTTTGTTTTACATCATTTCAGCCAATTCATCAAATTATTTGACATTTTTTTCTGTTAACTACCAATTAATTGAAATTATAAACGATTATTTTTTTCATATTTATTCATCAATGTTAGAAAAATAAACAAAATTATCGGCGAAGCATATCGATATAAGGCACGTGATTTATAATCGATCCACGTTATCGATTATTCATCGCCGTACGGCCATTCACCTAATGGAAACTACAAGTTCTTACGCAATACTGATTATAAATTATAAATGAAGAAAGAATCACGCGTCTAATTTCAATTAAAAGCACGCATATGTCCTAACCACCCTACCTTGTCGGCAACGAGCATCTGCCATTTTACAGGGAAAACTTGAGGAAGACTCTTTTTTTATATTTAGATTCTTGTAACAATTAGCGACTGACAATGATTCTTAAACTTCCAGGATATATGTTTCTATCCAAAAAAAAATTCACCTGGTTAGATGCGTGTTTTTTGCTTTTTTTCTCCCAGAAAGAATATATATATTTTTTGTGAAATATATTATCAAGGGTGAACATCTGGTCCTTTAACAGTAAAAGAAAAAATAAAAGAAAAGAAAAAGTCAAACAAAAAACCCAAAACACAACAACAACAACAAAAGCCAACAACAATTAAACAAAACAACAACAATAATCAAAAAATGACAACAACAACAACAACAACCAGACAACAACAAAAACACCACATGTCACATTGAAACTTTAAATGGATAAGGATATTTATTTATTTAATTATTTATTTATTTATTTTCTCCGCCTTTGTTATAACTATAGTGATGATTACTACTGTAAAAGATTCTTTAACTATTTTACAATAAGAGCTGCCAATTCTGAAATGAGTGGGCATAATTATCAGGATTTTCTTTTGTGATCATTTTAATATAATTAAAATAAAAACAAATTTTCAAAATCAACAAAAAACCAAAAATGCTTTAAAAACAACTTCCATTAAAAAGTTAATTTTAATGCACTATGTTACATGTTTATTTAAGGAATGCATGTATGTATGTATGTATGTAAAATGTAATATGAGACAAAGTAAACTCAGCAAATTATAAGTTTGTAAAATAAATCTAGGGCTAATTAAATAATAGTCTGATTGTCTTTTATTCATTGTTATTTACTATTGATCTACCAATTATTAAAGAAACGTTTATTTTACTTACAAATCCATTTTGACAACGTATTTTACTTGATAAACTATTTCAGGAAAGAGGCAAAAGCAAAGGAACAATTTCAATCGCAATGACGTCATATTCTATTTTTAGACTAAGAATGCATAATGAAATACAAACCGATCAGATAATAAAGTAAAAAAGCACAGAAACAGTTAAACAGATTTCACACACTCAGAAAAAAGGAGTCTGATTGAGGTATATAAAACTAGAGGTTGGATGTCAGGCCTTTTATCTAAGCTTTGGCGTTTCATCTGTGTGCGTTTTATGTTTTATAACAGTTCATAAATTACATTTTAAAATTGACTGTGCATAGTTTTGACGTGATAACGACACTAGTAAAAACTTGTATGATGATGCTTGTTATAGTTGAATATCAAAGGGAAATAGCGGCGAATCTGCACGCTTTTCACGTATGATTTGATGGACACAGGTCCCTGTGGGATTTCATTTGAAACTGACGTTAATTTAGTTACAGATACAGCTGGTTTTCTTGCGCTCTGGAACTATATTTTGCTGATGGATTTTGACAGGAAAAACAGACTTGGAAAAACACTTAAATTTCTTTCATGTTCTTAGAATCTAACGTCACGGCCCATAGAGTAAGCATTCAATAAATCTAAAGAAATGAAAATATGAGAAATGTCCCAGTTTTTGAAGTCTGTCGAAGTTTTGCATCATTTTCCGCAGACGAATGATTTATATTCGTAGAAAAATGTTTGTTTCTGTATTTCTATTTTCCTCCTTTTTCTTTTGGCAATGGACGAATATTCGGTAGGAAGTACCCCAGACTTCAACGCGTTCTAAGTGTTTTCAGTGGTTTGTATACATTTTGTTATTTGAATTATTTCAAGAATTTCTAAGTTTTTGGTCTGAATTTCAAGCAGACGACTTAAAAAACTTCTGCCTATATCACATCCTTCCGTTTCTGCCGCCTCTCTTTCATGACCGACTTGATATCTTTATATACGGTGATTCATAAACTATGGAGCACTACCCGGAACTTAATTTAAATGTATTTCTTTTCCTTCAAAACGAAAGCGAAATAACAATTATATGTTGGATATTTGTAATCACACAGACACCCTGAGATGAAACATACATATGAATGGCTTCAACGGTACAGGCATTGAAACGAACCTGATTAATACATGTATATAATGTATATACATAATTATACTGTTGTTGACATGTGCTGTTATTTTTACTTTGACCCATGGTTCTCAATATCAAAGATATATAATAAGAAATCAACGGTCCAATCAGTAAGAAATGCATAAAGTTATACCATTTCACTTATAAGGTTGTAAGAGTGTGTAACTTTTCCTTAACACAGTGTTACTTTTCCTTCTGACAATTTAATAGATGTTTTCACTTCAGGAAACACGCCAATTATAATGTAAAAATACTGTTATTACTACAACACTTTTTGAAGGTCCCAAAATCGGGACTATTGGATAGACTTGAAAAAAGTTTTTAAGTGTTTTATACTCGTTTAGCACCACGTTTGGTTAATAAAGTTTTGCAGTCGACAGTGTAAGGGTCTTATATCAAATTTTAGGTATGTGGTGGCAGACTTTAGGTGCCATCCCTGTGGTTAATTTCCGCCACAGGAACATGAGAAGAACCACCGGTCTTCTGTTACTTTACTTTGCACTATTCTTGGACAAAATACATATGGATATGTATATATGTACATATTGTATGAAATATGATATGATTATACATGTAAATATAGATCAGATCAATATAATGAAAGGGCGAATAAGAATAAGGAAAAGTATGTTACATCGCTTTGTCAAATAACAATACCTACTGTGCTATAAGAATCAATGTTTAAGATTAAAAATTTCCCGCTTGTGTCATTTGCTTATCTTGCGGAAAATCTGACTTCAGGTGATGAAAAGATGAAAAAGTCGGCCAAGAAGAAAGTGTAACAGCTATTCTAATACATTTATTTATACTTGAGCATGTTTCTTTTTGAAAATTATAGATAAGTTTTGAAAACGATATCTTTATATATTATACATGTCTTGTTCCATGTTTAAATGTTGAATTCTACTTAAGCCGGTGCTAGGGGGCGTGGACGGTTACTTGCACTTTTCAGTACAGTCCATGAACAGGCTCAATAAAACCGAACCTGCAACATTTTCAATTTGGTCGTTTTTTGGTGTTTGGGATTCTGTGTTTCACTATTTTTTTTATAAAGTTACAACACACAAACGTGTCGATTGTTATAGTGTGCCCTTCCTGATTACCAATAAGAATATAACTACAAACTTTCTGCAAGCATACTTTTGGTATGGATCTAAGACTATATTTTTTACATGTATCCGCAATTTGAAATATACAAAACAAACTTCACTCGAGAAATTTTTTTACCAATTCATTACAAATTCATTTATTCCTTAAATCCTTGATCTTCAATTTAATGCATAATATAAATGGACAGGTTTCTTAATTATATATCATTTTCTTTACAAATAAAACTATTCCATAACAAATTGTTTCCTTTTGACAATTTGACATTACCTTTCATATATATTGGAACAGAACAAATGTTTACCAACTGTTCAAGGATAACCAAAGAAAGAGTAAAAAAATCATACGATTTGTTGATAAAGCCAGTGCTTTGAAAAGGGGAGCTCAAAACAATTTTAAAATAATAAAACCATCCTAAAAAGCTGTTGATGCTTTACAAGAACGGTTCATAATGGACACCCAATACGACGAAATGAAATAAAATATCCAGCAAATCGAGCTGAACATTATCTAAGCAACTTATCATGTAGTGATGGCTTCTTCTCAGGAAAATATGGTTTGAGAAATCTTGCCTGGGATATGGATCAACAAAGATCGTTAATCAGTTAATGGTCGGTAACTTATATGATCTGTTTGGAATATCTACGCCAAATTAACGTCTATTCACTGCGTTCTATCATTCCAAATCATACACAGATTCGGTTTCATCCGTTTTCTATTCATTAAAAGAAGGTATTTATAAGCTAGCAATGTATGTACAATGTGATGGTAATGACATCCATTTTCTAAAGTAAAAACAACCCAACATTTATCCGTATCAATACTGCATCATTGCAATTTCATTATCAATATGAACACTTGATTTACATTGTACTTCTGTAAGTGTTAGATGCCGTGTATTTGTTAATTTTCAGTATTTGAAATCAGGCAATTAAAT